GGGCCAAAACCTCCAGGTCAGACGGCGCGAACTTCGGACTAAGCCTGGTCCACCGGACCAAGCTCCTGGTCCGGCGGACCAGGATCCGGAATATTTCCAAAATTCGAATTTTAGGGTTTTCTAATCTTATTTAAGTTTAGGGTTTCGTCTAAACTTAAAGAGAGCCGACCTAAAACTCAGAGAAACACCCTAGAACCCTAGAGAAGTTGTTCTCTTGGATTTGTTCATTGGGGTGATAATCAATATGTTTACAATTTTCACTTGTTAAATTTGTGAATTTCGATAAGGTGCGACGGTTTGACTAGTTTGACGGTGCGACGAGGCTGACGGTTTGACGGTGCGACGAGTCTGACGGTGAGACGGTTTGTGCAAAAAAATATCGATCTAAATAATGTTTTGAATATTCAATGTGGTGTATATGAGTTATTATAACATATTTAACATGTTTTTATTAATCGTAATTCATCTGAAAAAACAATATCTTTTACCCTAAGACAATGTGTTACACAAACTCTACTAGAACTTTAGGGTTTCATATGAGAGAACATGCATTGTCAAGAAAACAAAAGATATTAAATTTAGAGACCTAGAATTAGTTTCAATCCAAGATACTTGTTCATCGGGGTGATAATCAATATGTTTACAATTTACAATTGTTAAATTTGCGAAATTCGATAAGGTGCGACGGTTTGACTAGTTTGACGGTGCGACGAGTCTGACGGTGAGACGGTTTGTGCAAAAAAAAATATCGATCTAAATAATGTTTTGAATATTCAATGTGGTGTATATGAGTTATTATAATATATTTAACATGTTTTTATTAATCGTAATTCATCTGAAAAAATATTATCTTCTACCCTAAGACAATGTGTTACACAAACTCTACTAGAACTTTAGGATTTCATATGAGAGAACATACATTGTCAAGATGTTAAATTTATGAGAGAGCATACATTGTCACGATCTAAATTATGTTCATTCTTCATCTATTAACGCATTTTTTATAACACCAAATCTTTTGGAATCGAACCAAACTTAACTTTATAAAATTTCTGAAAAACCGAAACTTTTTTAAGAAACTCTGATTTTTTTAATAAAAAACAAAACCGAACCGTAACAAAACTAGAACCCAACTGAACCGAATAATATACGGTACTAATATCGTACTAAAACCAGAACCCCACCCTTAATGCATACTATACATATTGATATGTATATATATATATAAATATAAATACTTATTCGTAAGCCATATTGGAAAATAATATAATCTACCCTAACCTAGTGTGTTACAAAAAGTGTACTAAAACTTTGAGATTTCTTTTGGGAGAACATGCATTGTGAGAAACAAAAAGGTGTTAAAAACTGAGAGCTAGATTTAGATTTATCGTAAGATACTTGATGACTGAGATGATAATTGATAAGTTTATAGTTTTCAGTATCCAAATTTGTGAAAACCGATAAGGTGCGACGAGTTTGACATGTACTAATGGTGTGACGAGTTTGACTGGTGTGACGGTTTGTGAAAACAAATCGTTGGTCTAAATTAAGTTCTGATGGTTCAGTGTGATGTTCCTCTGGAGGCGCCGTTACTTCTTGACGTTTCTCGTGGGTTCCCTTTCTTCCTTTTCGACCTTTGGTTTCTCTCTTTGTTCGTTGCTTTTTGGAAGGTGGATCTGTCAATCCAAAGGTAATGTATGGACTTTTAATATCCTTTTTTCTTTTGTGCATCAGACGTTTACTCTGTTGAAAACAGGAACCTCCTCATGCATTGAAAAAGCCACATTCTCTTATGAAAAATGAGGTCTCAACTCGAACTCGGTGTTGTGTTATAGGTAACTACCAGTTGAAACATCATCCTCTTTGTTGCGCTTTATCTCAGACCAATTTTTTGCTTCAACGGTGATTTTGTTTGACCGGTGTGACCAGTTTGACCAGTTTTATCATATTAGCCAAACTTGTCAAACTGGTCACACCTTTCAAATGCAATCCGTGTGACTAGTATGACCATTTCGTATGCGACCAGTGTAACTAGTATGACATTATTTTGTCACTAGTTTTACTAGTTTGACGGTGTGACTACTTTACTAATATGACAGGTATACCCAGTGTGATAAAACTAGTCAAACTCGTCACACCCTTGAAATGCGACTAGTGTGATGAGTATGACTACTATGGTATAAATCAGTGTGACCAGTGTGACGGTGTGACGACTTCATTGGTATGACCATTGACGGGTGTACCTAGTTTAATCTGACTAGTCAAACGTGTCACACCCTTCAAGTACGACCAGTGTGACGAGTATGATCATTACGATACTGATAGAGACAAAACTCTCATATGACTTGATTTCAAACCGAAAACCTAATTTTCTTTAACTGTAAAACTCGAATACTATAACTCATTCGACTAAGATCTTGTCTACCGTAAATATTTGTCCAAGTACAATATATCAAATTAAAAAAAAAAACTAACTTTCTCGGTGAGATATAAAGAAAACTTTATCTGAAAATCTTCGCAAATAGAAGCCGAAAACGATGAAAACGAAGCCATTTTGAAGTGAAGAGAAAAAATCGCATAAGAAATTGCCAATAAAATTGGTTGGAGAATGTCCGTTGGAGAAAAATCGTGAAGAAGAGAGGAAGAAGAAACTGAACAGTTCTTTTAACTTAATAATTTTTTATTTGGCAACTCCCCACTTTTTCTCTCTCTTTCGTCATCTTTATTCAGATTATTACACGTGTAGTTTTTTTAAAGGGTATGATTGTCTTTTTAACGTTTTTCAATTTTTTTTTGAAATCCTAACTGTTTGAGGGTATGTCTTGAAGTCCATGTTACGTTTTAAAGGTATATTTGTAAAATCTAACTGCGCCGGTGAAGGGGCAAACACCGCAAATGACCCAGTTGGGCCGCAGTAGTTTCTTTCATACACCAACACCAGAAAATTATAACCATTTGTCAAATGTCAATTATACCCTTAAAAATGAAGGAAAATACATCATCACCCTCAATCTCGGTGTATAGTTAATAGACGACGTCATTCTGTATTTGTTTTCTTTTTTTTTTACTCTTTTTTTTTCTTTTTTATTTTTACTAACGTATAATATTATAGATAATATGGTAACATATATTATGCGTAATATAGAACAAATCAAGAAATCTCACTCTAAAAAAAGATTTATTATATTGAATATTTAAAAATATATTAAAATATTAATTTCAAATACTTACATTTATTAGTATTAGTATTTATTAATATCTATATATAAATTATGATCTTATAATATTTTTAGATCAATCATCTAAACTAACATAAAAGGAAGTCATAAATCAATTTTTAAAACAAGATAATATTAAGTATAAATTTATTTTTGGGTTACAAGAATCGTATTTTGGTTCTAACAAAAAATTATTGGTTAAAAAACATGTTAAGTATTATAGTTGAAAATATAATATAAATTAAAAATTCACATTATCATAAATTTATTTATAATCAAACTGAAAATATTAATTATTAATCCAAATGAAAATTGGAACCTTCCGAACATGCCGGACATGGTGTTTAAGAGAGGCGCAGAAAAACGAAAAGGGCAACATGACAAGCACGTCGGGGACATGTAATAAGAGAGTGCCAAACCACGAATGCAGGAGGTTGTAATAAATAATAAAGAACAGTATATAAAGAGATGCAAATCGAAGCAAATCAAGAATCAAGAAAAGGGAGAGAGAGAGAGATGGGAACGTCATCAATGGCGCTCGTGGCATACGCGTTGGTGTTTAGCGCAGTAGCAGTGGCTGTGGCCTCCTACGAGCCGTACGTCTATGCTTCTCCACCACCAACAACAATGTACCCGTCTCCATACAAATCTCCTTTTCCACCAAAGAAATACTCTCCTTCCTACTACAAATCTCCACCGATGCCTCAAAAACACAAAAGAGAAGGTCCTAAATACAAGCCTCATCCAAAACCATATGTTTACCGCTCTCCCCCTCCCCCTCCTTACTACTCTCCCTCTCCAAAATCCGAATACGAGTCTCCACCTCCACCATACGTCTACAGTTCACCTCCTCCACCATACGTCTCTCCTTCTCCAAAACCAGAGTATAAGTCTCCACCACCGCCATATATCTACAACTCTCCTTCACCTCCGCCACACTATTCTCTCTCTCCGAAACCCGAGTACAAGTCTCCACCACCACCTTACGTCTACAATTCTCCACCACCTCCTCCTTACTACTCTCCCTCACTGAAACCTGAGTACAAGTCTCCACCACCACCTTACGTCTACAATTCTCCACCACCTCCTCCTTACTACTCTCCCTCGCCGAAACCTGAGTACAAGTCTCCACCACCACCTTACGTCTATAACTCTCCACCTCCTCCTCCTTACTACTCTCCCTCGCCGAAACCCGCGTACAAATCTCCACCTCCACCTTACGTCTACAGTTCTCCACCACCTCCTCCTTACTACTCTCCCTCGCCGAAACCCGAGTACAAATCTCCACCACCACCTTACGTCTACAACTCTCCACCTCCTCCTCCTTACTACTCTCCCTCGCCGAAACCCGAGTACAAGTCTCCACCAACACCTTACGTCTACAGTTCTCCACCTCCTCCTCCTTACTACTCTCCCTCGCCGAAACCCGAGTACAAGTCTCCACCACCACCTTACGTCTACAGTTCTCCACCACCTCCTCCTTACTACTCTCCCTCGCCGAAACCCGAGTACAAATCTCCACCACCACCTTACGTCTACAGCTCTCCACCATCTCCTCCATACTACTCTCCCTCGCCGAAAGCTGAGTACAAGTCTCCACCACCACCTTACGTCTATAACTCTCCACCTCCTCCTCCTTACTACTCTCCCTCACCGAAACCCGCATACAAATCTCCACCTCCATCTTACGTCTACAGTTCTCCACCACCTCCTCCTTACTACTCTCCCTCACCGAAACCCGAGTACAAATCTCCACCACCACCTTACGTTTACAGTTCTCCACCACCTCCTCCGTACTACTCTCCCTCGCCGAAACCCGAGTACAAATCTCCACCACCACCTTACGTTAGTTCTCCACCACCTCCTCCATACTACTCTCCCTCGCCGAAAGCTGAGTACAAGTCTCCACCACCACCTTACGTCTATAACTCTCCACCTCCTCCTCCTTACTACTCTCCCTCACCGAAACCCGCATACAAATCTCCACCTCCATCTTACGTCTACAGTTCTCCACCACCTCCTCCTTACTACTCTCCCTCACCGAAACCCGAGTACAAATCTCCACCACCACCTTACGTCTACAACTCTCCACCACCTCCTCCATACTACTCTCCTTCGCCGAAACCCGAGTACAAATCTCCACCACCACCTTACGTCTACAGTTCTCCACCACCTCCTCCTTACTACTCTCCCTCACCGAAATCCGAAGGTGCGACGGTTTGACTAGTTTGACGGTGCGACGAGGCTGACGGTTTGAC